GGTTTAGCGTGTTGGGTTTAGGGGTTTAGGGGGTTAGGGTCTAGCGTTTGGGGTTCAGGAGGGCTGGGGTTTCATCTGTAGATTCAGGAAGGAAGCTGTCCGACCGCACGACTTAACCACGGAATAACGCTAACATATGGACAGAATCTTGACGTGATGTAAGGTTTTAGTTCACATGGCTCAGTCAAGGGATACGACAGAAACCCGAATAGTCAGATACGTTGTTCCCTTACAGTCACTGCATAACTATAGTCTACTGCACGACAAACCCCGTTCTAAGTATGGGATGCATGTTTTACACTTCCTTATGTTCCCTATATAGTCTGATTGTATTCTGCTGTGCTATACCCGAAATCCCGGTTCGAACTGTCTCATTGCCTTATCTTATTCAGGCACCTATTAATCCAGCTAAAACCCGATATAAACCCCTATAGCAACACATTAAGGGAACGAGCCCCATTCCAGCCATTGAGACCCTAAACCCTAAACCCTAAAACCTAAACCTTAAACCCTCAACCCTAATGGCCCTTTAACATATAGGGCTGTCTGGGAAGCTGGTGGAGGCCCAGGCCGATGACGGCATAGGCCGCCCTCACCTCGAGAAGAGACACCTGAGACGTGAAGGGCGGCTTGGGGCTTTTGTAGGGCTCAAGGCTTAGGGTTTAGGGTTTAGGGCTTAGGGCTTAGGGTCTAGGGCTTAGGTTTTAGGGTTTACGGCGTAGAGTTTACGGTTTAGGGTTTAGGGTTGAGGGATTTATAAGGCCTGATAAGGTTTTATCGGGTTTGGGGTTTCAGCCTCTGGGGTCCCACAAAAAGCGCCCAAGCATAAGGAATCCTGGACTTGGAGCACAGGGTGATCTAGCCTAAGCCCTTAGCCTTAACCCCAAACCCCTAATCCCTAATCCCTTGCCTAAACCCCGACACGCCAAACTCTAAAAGCCAAACCCTAAACCACCAATCCCTAAACCCTAAACCCCTAAACCCCTAAACCCTAAAGCCCTAAACCCATAAACCCCTAAACCCCGAAGCCCTAAACCCCTAAGCCCTAAACGCCATACCCTAAACGGCCCCAGAACCGCCGAACTCCTGAACTCTCTGGCCCAAGTTCCGGGGGTGCAGACTTTAGGGTTTAGGGTTTAGGGGTGTAGGGTTTAGGGGTTTAGGTTTAAAGTTTAGGGTTTAGGGTTTAGGGCCTGACCTGAACCCGATGCATCCCAAGCCCTAGCCATCCCAGAAGTACGCGAACCTCAGCCCGGGCTTTCAGTTTAGGGCATTGGGGTTTAGGGGTTTAGGGGTTTAGGGGTTTAGGGTTTAGGGGTTTAGGGGTTTAGGGTTTAGGGTTTTCATATAAGTTTTCAGGGTTCAGGAGTTTAAGATTTATGCGTTTAGGCTTTGAGGGTTGAAGGTTTAGGGTCTAGGGACCATGAGAATAGGGTTGTGGGGTATATCATAGTAAATTTGCGAAACAAGGGGATAGTATTGTGAATTTGTCGAACCCATTTCTTCGGGTTTTGGGGTTTCGGGTTTCTGGCTTCAGGAAACCCGCAGTCAAGTGCCTGCAAGAACTGCAAGCCGGAACCCTAAATTCAGCTGCAGAGGCCTTCTAATGTAGGGTTTAGGGTTTGGGGTTTAGGGTTTAGGGCCTAAGCCCCTTTAACCCTAAATCCTAAACGTCCTAATCATAAACACAAGAGGTTTCACATGGGTGCCGCTTGGGGCCCTTAAATTTATACGCAGAGCTCGCATAACCCTAAACCCTAAACATTAACGATGTGCGGTACTTCTCTCAAGTAGGTCCCTTCTTTGGGCCCCCACCCGTACAGCTCTAAGAGGGACCCTAGTCTAGAGAACTACCCTTGAAGGGACCGCTCAAAAGGAACCCCTGAAGGGAACCCCTAAACCAAACCCTTAAAGGGAACCCCTAAAAGGAACCCCTCAACAGGGAACCCCAAAAGGAACCCGTAAAGGGAACCCCGAAAAAAAAACCCTAAAGGGAACCCCCAAAACGTGAGCCCCGAAAAGGGAACCCCTAGACGGAACCCTCAGAAGGAAAAAAAAGTGAAAGGGAACTCCTAAAAGGAACCCTTCCTAAACCCTAAACCCTAAACCCTAAACCCTAAACCCTTCTGGATTCTACAGAGGGCTCTGGGTCTCCCGCCTTGATGCGGTCGACTTGCAGCATGGCCGCGATGCTTGCCTGGGGACCAGGAAGCCAGCGAGCCCGAACGGAGCTTTAGGGTTGAGGCGGTTTCGGATTCTTTTATCGGGGTTTAGACGGTCTTTTTTGGGCGGGAGGTTGGGGTTTAGGGTTGAGGGTTTTTCGAATTTTTACGGTTTAGGGCTTTTAGGGTTAGGGTTGAGTGTTCATGGTTTAGGGTTTCGGGTTTGTTAGGGGCCCGAGAACACGAAAAAAAGGCCTGATCAAAAAAAGCCCCGGCCCAAAACAGTACATCAAGATCGCAACACGGTGGTCTTCGCATCGTAAGCCCGAAGCGAGAGCAGAAGACCTCAACGCAGCGCTGCCCTTGCACTTACAGAGTCGTGTGTAGGAGCTGTCGTCAACAAAATGGTTAAGGCCTACCGTGAGCCATGCTATTGCCACTGCTGTTCCGTTTGCTGATGGGTAAGGTAAGGTAACTGTGACTTTCTGAAGACTTGAAACCAAAAACCCAACTAAACCCGAGGTATTTGTACCTACGGCATGTCAACCTCCTAAAGCCTAATCCTTAAACCCTGGAACCATGATTCTTGAGTAATCCTCTTGGCTTCACAGGATCCACAGCAGGTTAAGGGTTTAACATAGGAGCTTGAATGGCCAGACTAGGTGTTGGGGTTGTCTCGACTCTTGCTACATCAGGGAACCTAGCCGCGGCTTAGGGCCTAGGGTTTAGGGTAAAGGGATATAGCTTGTAATCCTTCACTCCCCTTATAGCTGACCTTCCGAATAGAGCACACCATAGCTTGAGTGCCTGGAGAGCTTGTTGCCCCTTCGCTGTGCCGAGCTTTTCGACCTGACATAGAAACAATAATGATAAGCATCGTCATCATCATCATCACCATAACGAGACCAATAAGAGTAACAATAATCATAGCCGTCATTATCATCATCATACCACCATACCATCGTACCATCATCATCATCATCATGACCATCCTGATCATCATGCAAACTAGCAGTCATGATTGTACAAGTAATAGCGATGGTAGAAAGCAAAGAACAGGAATGATACCGCCACAAGAATAACAACAACCACAACAGCAGAAGTAATAGCGATAAGGATGACAGCGATGGTAACAAAGAGAGGAAAAACAGGACCGATAACCGTGAGGCTGGGGCTTAGGGTTAAGAAAAGAAAACAGCATTCAACGGACGATCCCTCATCGTTGTGGATGCTACTCCCGAAACCCTAAACCCTAAACTCACTTGCAGTAGGCTACAGTTCATGCTCAGGCCCCTCCGCAAACCTGGGATGTCGCCTTCTGTTCAGGAGTTCAGGGTTTAGGGTTTCAGAGTTTAGGGTTTAGGGTTTAGGGTTGCTTAGGGGTTTAGGGGTGTATGGTTTCGGGCACAAGTTTAGAACAAAGTTTAGGGGGTTCAAGGTTTACGATTCGGAGGGGCTCTCTACGGATGAGAGCGGGAGAAAGGGTTTAGGGTTTAGGCATCTGCACGAATTCAGGACCATAATGATTACAAACACAACATGTCTCTTCTCCACTCAAAAAGCTTGCTATCATCCTCGCCATGGCCAACGTCGTCGTCATCGCCATGACCACCATCAAGCCCTAAAAGCTATACGGTACTGGTAACTCCAAGCCCAAGCCTAGTTTGCAAATATAAATAGAAATATATATATATATATACACATATATACACACACACACATGTATGAATGTGTATGTATATATATATATGTGTGTGTACTATATACATCTTGTATGTATATATATATATGTATATACATACATCTTGTGTATATATATATATATACATATATATATATGTATACATACATACATACATACATACATACATATATATATATATATATGTATATATATACATATTATATATATATATACCCTAAACCCTAAACCATAAATATATAATATGTACTATGAACAAATCATATATAATTATATACGCATCAATATGTACTGCGCCCCTTGGCAGCTTCCAGGCTTAGGGTCCGCACAGCAGCTGGGGCAACCGTGAGGCCCAGGGTGGCCTGCGGCCAATGTTCGAGCGTGCGGGGTTTGGGGCTTTAGGGCTTTAGGGCTTTAGGGTTTAAGGTTTAGGGTTTAGGGTTTAGGGGTTTGGAGCTCAGGGTTTAGGCTTTGTGGCTTCAGGCTTAGCGCCTTAGGGTTAGGGTTTAGGGATTGGGTTTCAAGGTTCAGGCTACAGGCTTACGGTTTACTTCAGGGGTGTAGAAGGGGCTGAGTGGTCACACAAGTACCGGCTGCTTTCACATTCAGGATCCTGCTATATGGAATCTGTGGCAGGGACCCGCAGCACCTGTTTCCATGTGCCGCCCATAGTCACGCCACGTCCCTTGACGCGGATGCTCGCTAAACCCTAAACCGTAAACCCTA